CCAAGATCGTATGTGGCGTGGGTCGTGGGGTTCTGCTGGCCGCTGGTGACGGATCCGGAACCCACCGTCAGGTTGCTGTTGTTTGTGGTGAGCGTGGTGCACGAGACGGTGCTCAGGGTGGATGGCCCCGCCCCGAGAGTCCCCGTCGTCGAGATATTACATCCTCCGAAAGCACCCACTCCGAATGTGCCCGTGGTGATCTTGGTCGCGTCGAGGCCGGACGTGATGGCCGCGTTGACGACGGAGCTTGCGGGCAGCGTCAGGGTCCCCGAGCTGACGGTGAGGCCGTTGGAAGAGGTGAGGCCGTTCGCGGCTACGAGGCTCCCAGTCACGCCGACGTTGCTGCCGAAAGCCCCTGCCCCCGCGTCGACGGATGATGCGTAGATCGTGGCGACCCGTTTCGCGCTCGTGCCGACGTTGGATGCGTAGAGCGTGCTCCAGGCATTGGAGGTGCTCCCCAGATCCAGATTGGATCCGGAGGCGATGAGAGACACGCCCACGAGAGCCGTGCTCGTCGCCGAGGTGCCGTCGTCGGATAGCAACTGGAGGGCTCCGTTCGAGGTGGTGCTCAGCGTGACCATCTTGGACCCCGCTGTACCCGGGAGTGCCAAGTTGCCTCCCTTCGGCAGCCAGTAGTTACCGTTGCAGCCTTGGTTCCACGTGAACGATAGGGTAGCGTTGGAAGCGGCGTAGTTTGAGCCCTGCACGTAGAGTCCGGCCCCAGAAGCGGTGGCGTCGGTCGGATTAGACGTGGCCGCCAACGTGACGTGTTTGTCTGCGACCAAGAGCTCGCTCGTGCTGATGTAGTCGATCGAACCTCCGACCAGCAGCTTGCCGGAGACCGTCACGTCCCCGCTGAAGCTGCCCGCACCCCCGCTCACCGAGCCCGTGCCCACACTCATGCTGGTGCCGACGAAGGCCCCGCCGTTTATGGCCCCCGCGCTGATGTTGCAGCCTTGGGTGTCTACTGCCTTGCACGTGAGCTGACCGGAGAGGCTCGCCGAGGTTCCGCTGATGGCCCCCCCCGAGATGCTCCCCGAACCGGCGTTGAGGTTGCTGTTCTGGGTGTTCAGGGAGTAGCACGTCAACGCGCCGGCGATCGAAGCGTTGCTATTGACCGTCAGAGAGCCCGCATCAACGGATGTAGAGTAGACGACGGACGCCCGGTTGCTGCTGCTGCTGACGGTACCTGTGGTGTATACCGCATTGCCTCCCATGCTGAGAGGTGCCGACAACGAGGCGCCACTGGCAGAGAGAGACCCCGAGAGGGTGGCGGAGCCGGCGTAGAGGCTCTTCCAGGCACCGGTCGAAGAGCCCAGGTCGTATGCGTTGTTGCTTCCCGGCAGGACGTCCGCGGAGAGGCTGGTCGTGGAGCCGGCGCCGAGGGTGAGGTTGGAGTTGGCCCTGAGCGTTCCCGAATCGACCGTCCCCGAGTACAGCGCCGTGGCCCTGTTGCTCGAGGAGGCAATGGTGCCCGTGGTGGAGATGCTATTGGATCCGAGGGCGAGCGGTCCGCTCAACGTGGCGCCGTTTGCAGCCAGTGATCCTGATAGGGTGGCGGAACCGGCGTATACGTTCTTCCAAGCGTTCGAAGACGCTCCCATGTCGTACGCGTTGTTGCTGCCGGGCATCATATCGGTAGAGATGCTCGTGGTGGAGCCGACCGCAAGGGTGAGATTGGAGTTGGCCTTGAGGGTCCCGGAATCCACCGTCCCAGAATACAGAGTGGCGACTCTGTTGCTGCTGGAGGAGATAGAGCCGGTAGTGGAAATTGCGTTGGAGCCGAGGGCGAGCGGGGCGCTCAAAGTGGCGCCGTTGGCCGACAGAGGTCCAGAGAGCGTGGCGGTGGCGGCGTAAAGGTTCTTCCAGGCGTTTGAGGAGGATCCGACGTCGAAGGCGTTGTTGCTTCCGGGCAGCACGTCAGCGGACAGG